TCAAACTCAAGGAAATCAGTCTATATGAAAATGCTTGTTCTTGGTTAGAACATTGGCTTAAAAACAGAGTACAAAGAGTTGTCATTAATGGTAAATTTTCAAGCTGGACAGAGGTGGCAAGTGGTGTCCCTCAGGGGTCTGTTCTGGGACCCCTTCTATTTAAAATGTTTATAAATGATCTTGAAGACAGCATTGAAAGTCATGTTTCAGTGTTTGCAGATGACACAAAACTTTGTAAAACAATACAATGTGAGCAAGATATTACTTTGCTGCAGAGGGATTTAGATAGACTGGGGGACTGGGCACTCAAATGGCAAATGAAATTTAATGTTGAAAAATGCAAAGTTATGCACTTCGGCGTAAAGAATACACAAGCAACGTATACCCTTAATGGAAGCGAATTAGGGATAACCACACATGAAAAGGACTTGGGAATTGTCATAGACAACAAACTATGCAACAATGTGCAATGTCAATCAGCAGTGGCCAAGGCCAGTAAGGTATTGTCATGCATGAAAAAGGGCATTCATTCTCGGGACAAGAAATATAATTTTGCCGCTTTATAAATTACTGGTAAGACCCCATATTGAATATGCTGTGCAATTTTGGGCGCCTGTTCTAAAGAAGGATATAATGGCACTAGAAAAAGTGCAGAGGCGGGCTACAAAACTAATAAAAGGAATGGAACATATCGGCTATGAAGAAAGGTTAACAAATTTAAACCTATTTAGTTTAGAAAAACGTCGCCTGAGAGGGGATATGATAACATTATACAAATATATTCGGGGCCAATACAAACCATTGTGTGGAAATCTATTCACAAACTGGACTTTACATAGGACACGAGGCCATGCGTTTAGACTGGAAGAAAGAAGATTTTGTCTAAGGCAAAGGAAAGGTTTTTTTACTGTAAGAACAATCAGGATGTGGAATTCTCTGCCTGAAGAAGTGGTTTTATCAGAGTCCATACAGATGTTCAAACAGCTACTAGATGCATACTTGCAAAAACAGAATATTCAAGGATATAATCTTTCAATGTAGGGTAATAACTGCTCGATCCAAGGATAAATCTGACTGCCATTCTGGGGTCAAGAAGGAATTTTTTTCCTAGCTTGTTGCAAAATTGTGCTTCAAACTGGGTTTTTTTTTGCCTTCTTTTGGATCAACAGCAAAAAACAAATGTGAAGTAGGCTGAACTTGATGGACGCAAGTCTCTTTTCAGCTATGTAACTATGTAACACCTCCCATATTTGTATGTTGTATGTAGAGTACAATGATACCGTACATGTATACCTTTTCACCTAATTAAACCCTTAATCCTACCTATAATCCTACCAGTGCGGCATTTCCAGGATCCCACAATAGAGGGCTCTATGAGCGCTCTATACTGCGTGATTGCAACAAGATGGGGAGATCAAAGTCTTATGCTGCAGCTCCTAAACACAGTGACTGTGTTTCCCTCCCCCAGGCCTGCATGTGTCTTATTTCACTCTGCCCCACTGCCTCTCCATGTGTCCCATACAATTCCCCCCCCCAGCCCTTCCATGTGTTCCATTCCCTCTCCCCTCAGCCTCTGTTTCCCATGCCCTTCACCCCCGCCCCTCCATGTGTCCAATTTCTCCCTCTCTCCCCCCTCCCCTGGTTGTGTACCATTCCTCCCTCCCTCTCTCTCCTCTCCCCTTAATTTGTCCCATACCCTACCTCTCCCCCTCCACACCCTGTGTCAGATTCCTACTTAGAGTAAACATTTAATTATTTCAAAACTTATGAGCGAAGACATCTGGAACCATTGTCACCCACACTGTCTTGTATATTCCTCCACCATGGTTGCCACTGATGTCCTCATTGACCTTTGACTGCAGTGGATTCATTAGAGCACCTTTTGCAACACCGTTGTGGAAAACATAGCAACACAAAAGTAGGAAACAGAGCATGTAGATCTGGTAGTTTGTATGTCTTCTAGAAAATTAGATCTTTAGTTCAGCTAAAACAAACCTTGTAAAAGCTTATTGTGACGATGTATCTCTTTGATCTCATGGAACAAAACTCATCCACATCATGTTTCTTCTAGCTCTTCCTGTGTTTATACTGTTTGCACACGGTTACCCAATTGTACCCAACAACTTCCAAATTTGCAAACTGCATTTTACCATAATATACTCTTTCCTGCTAGATTTATATAATTGGTTAGACACAATTATTTTCTACAGAAAACACAATATTGGTAGTTAACAATTAAACAGGCTAAGCCGTTTTTGTACATCAGCCACCTGTTCTAGATTTGGACATTTTGATTGCTTTAAACCTGTTAGACAGACATTTCTCTGGATATTCTATCCCATTCAGCTACGCACAACATTATTTATACAATATTTTTAATCATGTGTCACTATACTTGCCTGTTCGGTGTAGAGCCAAGCGGCTGTAAACATACAAGGGCAAATGTGACTATACTTACCAATTCAGTGCTGGTCAACAGCTTCTCCTCTTTTTTTGTGGGCCGAATCGACCGCTTAGTGCATTTTATAACTCCAAATAGAACTTAGGACAATGTTTGCTTGAACGGCACATCTTTTTATATAATGGAAATTCATGAAACGTCACATCGGTTTTTAAAGTGACCATGTCTATGCGACCCCACTTTCGTACGTTTTGGAGTTGCAGAGATGACATGGACCAATCAAAATATATGTAAGCCTGGATTTATTTTACTTTGTATATGCATAATACCTTTGCAGGGTTAAGGGATCTGGGAATATGCACCCAGACTACTTCAATGAGCTGAAGTGGTCTGGGTGCCTATTGTGTTTCTTTAATTCCAGACACTCTTTTACACAGTAATATGTCTATATTAGAACCTCTAATTTGTGGGTTTCCCATTTTCTGTAAGTTAGGATAATAACTCTGTGACAGTAAGGCCGTGCCTCCCAACCTGTGGTACACGTACCTCCAGTGGTATGAAACCAATTCCCCCAAGGGGAACGCAAGAAAAAAAATCTGTAGTGGCGGCCACAGTCTGAGGGGGCCCATCAGGTGGCCAATGCACTGTGGGCTTGACCAGACACCTGGTCCTGGACCAGCTGGAATGGTGAGCATATCCTTCGTTCCGCTTTTACCTGCCACCATCCAAGTCACAGCAGTGAAAAACAAAATAAATGGAGCTGGAGCATGGGTAACTCTTTAACCCCACAAGGACCTCGGTCGTATTTGGTATGTCCGACAAGAAACATTAGAGAGCTGGAAGCGATCATGATTGCTTCTAGCCGCACTGATGGTATTGCAGCAATGCCTCCATGTCGAGGCATCGTGCAATACCCCCTCCCCCTCACTGCCCGGTGGCCGGGTGATCGCTCACCTGGAGCGATCACTTCCGGGTTGCCCCACGTGGCGCCGAGCAGTGGGGCAGTGATGCTCTGCTTGTGCTGAGTGCCTCAAAGGGGTAAGGCACTCTGTGAAGATACATTCAATTTAAAAAAAAAAAATATATATATATTTTTTTTTTTTGTAAAAAGTAACCCTTTCCCTCACTTTCCCTCCCTCTCCCTCCATATGTATTGAACCCGAAATCCACCGGCGATCAGTGTTCTTCTATGGGGGGACTGTCTGCTGTCTGACAGCCCAGATAGTCCCCCCTCTGCAAATTAGGAGCCCCAGGGGGGCACATGGCCGCGATAGGTGTCCATAGTGCTACCAGCAGGGGGACTGCCTGAGTTGACAGGCAGTCCCCCTGCTGATGGGAAAAAAAAAATAAAAATTTTTTTTTTTTTTTTTTTTTTAATAGGTTGTTAGTGTTTTTGACATTATTTAAAAAAAAAAACTAAAAAAAAACTTTTTTCCCTACAGCAGTTAGGTATCTGCCTGTCACTCTTGAGAGCTACCCAGGATCATTCTAAACATCTAATAGTTGTATTTTAGTTCCAAGGGAGTTTTCATAAGTTATTATAATAGAATGGATAATACTGAAACTCCATTTCCACTAGAACCCCTGGATAACGTGATGTTCACATATATAATTTATATAATAGTGACAGGTTCAAAATTGATGGATATCTATACTGCTGTCAGGATTCAGCATAAGAAATACCGACAAGTTATGTTTATTGGTTATTTTTTTAATTTTCAATTGTTGTCATCACCTAGTGAGCACATCAATAAGCCTTAATTTTGTTTAAGCACTACAAGCACCTTAGGTGTAATCTTCATTACTTGATATGTAGTGAGAATCACTTTACCTATAGTGATTATTCTCACTATACTCTTCAATGTACCACTATCTTTAAAGGTATTTTATATACTATGCAGGCACTTAGTAGGCACGTTTGTGTTATTGCACTATAAGCACTTTAATATGCATGGTCTATCTCTTTAAATTTCTCGGCGAGAGTCACGGTAGATACAGTGATTTCTCCCATGGTTTTTATTTATGTATAGAAGTGCATTTTTGACAGTTCAAGTAAATGGGGCACTTAGTACTTATTCTTCCACTTCTTTTTGCACTTTCATAGGTTGTGAATTTAAAGTTGCTCATTTGTTAATATATCCGAGCGTTCTATGTGCTATTGACTAACGCTACTGTGGCAACATACAGGCACCAATCACGCTAGCATAAGCTCCCAAAGGGGCGGGGCTAGCTCACACATGCGCTCTGCGGTTCACTGCACTGCGAAAGCACCTCACCTGGGGCAAGTCAGACCTCTTCACATTGGTCACTAATTATTGTAATTATGTATGTATATAACCTAGTGTTGATAGATTAATATTCATGTCTTGATCCTGAGGAAAGTCCCCAAGAGAGTGAAACGTCGATCTTTTTAAGTATGGAATAATAAAACATTGCAGATTTTAATACCACTATCCGTAAGTGCAGCTATACCTTTACTTATTGTTTGGATACTATTGGGCCCCGGCTGGTACCTGGTATTTTGGAATATTAGAGCTTGTGTGCAAGGATACCTTTTGGTGTGTGTGTGTGTGTGTGTGTGCGCGTATGTATGTATGTGTGTGTGTGTGTGTGTGTGTGTGTATATGTGTATATATGTATATATATGTATATGTATATATGTATATGTATATGTGTATATATATATATATATATACACACACACACACACACACACACACACACACACACACACACACACACACACACACACGTGTTTTCCAGAGATATATAGATAGATATGATATATATATATATATCATATGAAAATTGTTTCATACTTACCGTAATTTTCTTTTCCTGATAATTCTTCATGGCAGCATTTACTCATGGGGTTAGCTCCTCCCCTTACAGCAGAAAGGACAGGAAATAGAACTTTGAAACTGGTATAAATAGATTCTCTCCCTTCCCATTAGGCAGTCTTTGTAACTAGCTTCACAACTCTTATAGTATATGGGTGGAAACGTATTGCTGCCATGAATAATGATAAGGAAAAGAAAATTACGGTAAGTATGAAACAATTTTCCATTTTCCTGACCATTGTTCACGGTAGCATTTACTCATGGAGAATAACCAAGCAGTATATATAGAGGGAGGGACAGAGTTCAAAAACAACTAATAGCTATAAAACGATTATTGAGCTGTATAAATCTTAAAAGATTTTACAAAACCAAACAAGAATCAATAGGAAATTGTCATAAAATCTGCTCAGACAAGATATTTTTCCCTAGAGGCTGCAAGGTCAGCAACCTCCTGCCATCCAATATCTGAAATATCCTGAATAAATATAGAGTCAGATAGGAATTAAGGCCATGATAGCATAAGCTATAGAAGGAAAATGTCATTCTGATATAAAAATTTAAAACCAAATTGATATCAACAAATCCGAACCTTGACAAAGGCATAACTTCCAGAGATCATACTGGAACAAGCAGATAATGTTGGATGAGAACGGACACACCATGCTATTAAACACGGGGAGAATTACACTGAGAATCCTACTACTTACTGGAGGTATTTATTAAATACGATTCACACCGCTTCCTCTTGCCTTGTGAACTACTTACCTGAAGATACAGGAACAAATCAATATCTGCATGTCAGAAAGAGGCAGAGCCTAGTAGAGAAATAAGAGTCTGTAATTAAAACACTGCAACATGTTGCAAAATTCGGATTCGCAACAATACCTCACACAGTGGATGAATTGATACAGCAATGATCAGTCACAGGAGAGGAATAAACTAATAACATTACTAGGCGGAGGCAAGAAGAATCATATACAGATTAGTTGAGGGAAAAAAAAAAATATCGGTATGAACCATAGAATTTGTGGCAACTACTAAATTATAAGGAGGCAAACCACGTCAGTACCTACATTTAAAGATAAATATATTGTAAATAGTACAGATTATGCCAAACAGTATAATCAAATTTATTAGAGACTGTTGTGCAACAGAAGTAAGAGATATATAATAGGCAAGATACTGATGGGAAGGTGGTAACCAGAGGCACATTATACATTGTGGCAACACACATAATAAGCAGGATAGTAGAAGATATTCAGTTATCCTTATGAGAACAACAACCGCATACTTACTCTTACCTTATCTTCAGATAGTGAAGAAGTACTTATGGCAGAGCCTATGGTGATAATAAGCAGCTTGTTATATCTGCAAGATATCAACACCAATCCAAACATATCATCCACAAGTATTAAATCAATGCAATGTTAGGAGTGACCATAACTTATACAGATCTAGGTACAGAGACCCTGTAAAACATATCAGTCAAATGTTTGTCATCAACAAGCTGCATTACATATATAATGCCGGATGAATCAAACATTTAAAGCCACACATTGGTTGCAAATTTCAGATATAAGGACACTTGGAAGAATATCAGAAGAGAGGTCCATAACAGAACTACCTTTTTAGGGATTTCCTCTATTTTTCAGGCAGCAGGTAAATTTTACCTGAAATAGTAAACCTGGTAGAATGGTCTGGGGACTGGAAAGACCTTAAAATAGTTGCAATACACAGCATCAAAAGTTACCTGGAGCATATGAGCCTAAAAGAATACCTTTATTGCAGAAAGGAAATTATAATGTTCCCCTTCACAACAGGGGAATCTGTCAGATGTTTCTGATCATTAACTCCTTAAGAACCAAAAGCATGCCACCCCTGACATATACTAAAGGTATTGACAAACTTTCAGGTATCCAAGGGATAAAAGAGAATACTGAATATAAATTTTATGCTTTAAGGAAATGAATTCAGATTTAAAGAATAAAAGGTTATGACCAGGTGAAAGAAAACAATATTAACAGCTTTTAAATCAGGTAATGGCTTCAGCGTTACCTACTTATGAGATCAATTAATAGCCCAATTTGTGCTCCTGCAACCAGTATGATCTACTAAGCTGTGAATTAGTAATCAGCATATATCTGAAGGTAAAACACTGCCACCAATTAAAAAAAAACATTTCCTATCTTGAACAGAGGGGAGAGGATGCCTGGCAATAGAAAAACATTTGTAGATGGGTCTCATGTATAAATACATAGGAGTGCACACACAAAAAAAAAACGATTATGTTAAACATTACCATGCTCCATTTTGGAAAAACAGGTCTCCTTCTTTCCTGGGAGAGGCACTCAGACAGGTTCAGTAACACCTGCAATCTATCTGAAGTGGTAAAATGCTTATACCGAAACACCTGTGTGAGAGGGAATCTAATACAAAGCCAAAAGCAGTATGTTTCCTTATCTACTTCAGTTAAGGACCGGACTGTTTTTGCGATGTTGTACATTTGCGACCAGGCCTCTTTTTACACTTTTGTGGTGTTTGTGTTTAGGTGTAATTTTCCACTCTCTCATTTACTGTTGCCATACAAATTATATATTGTTTTTTTCAGGACAAAAGGGGCTTTCTTTACATACCATTATTTATATAATCTCATGTAATTGAATTTTTTTTTAAATGAAAAATATGATGAAAAATTTAAAAAAATACATTTAAAAAAGTAAAAATGTTTTTTGACTTACTTGAAAAATCTTTTACTCATCTACAAAAGCAAATGAAAAAAACTGCTAAATAGATTAAAAATTTTGTCCTGAGTTTAAAAACACCCAGTGTTTACGTGCTTTTTTGCAAGTTATAGGGCTAAAGGAACAAGTAGGATATTGCGGTTTCAAAACCTACATTTTTAAAATTTATCAATAGTGACATTGTAACACCATTATCTGTCCTAAATCTCTGGAAAACACTACACATGTATATATATTTTTTTTAAAGTAGACAGCCCACGGTATTCATCTAAGGATATTTTGACACTTTCTATGCAGCCATTTTACCACCAGTCTTTGCCAAACTTCGCATAGGTAGTTTTTTTTTGTTTTTATTTTCACATACATTTCAATTCAGGTATAAACTTACAGATCCTGTTGTGTTGCTGCCAAAAAACACACTAATAATTGTTAGCAACATCTCCCGAGTACAGTGATACCACCCATGTATAAGCTTGTTGAGTTGTTTGGGGGCTAAAAGGCCACATTTGGCAGATGTGCACATCCATTTTCCAACTTGGAATTTTGGCATGTGGTCAACCTGCACACAAGTCCTATTTGGGACATTTGTAAGGCCGGCCAATATATTTTACCCCCACCAAACCATATATTTTTGGAAAGTAGACACCCTAGGGTATTTCAAATGGTGGTATTTTAACACTTTCCATGCACTAATTCTACCACCAGACTTTGTCAAACTTTTAGGTAGTAATTGTTTTTTTTTTTTTTTTTTCACATACATTGTATTTTAGGCATGAATTAACAGATCCTGTTATGTGACACTGCCAAACACCCCAATATGTGTTCAGCAACATCTCCTGAATACAGTGATCTCACCCATGCAACTTGATATATAGGTATGCTTGGCCTATCTTCAGTTTGGCATATTTTTGCATCCCTCAGTTAATGTTAACATCAGTTTATATTTTTATAAAGTAGACATTCCAGGGTATTGTATATGGGGTGTTTTCACATCCTTCCCCCAACCATTGTGCTAAACAAATTTCAGAGAACGTGCATGGTGGTAATTTTTGAATTCTGCTTTTTATGCACACGTCATCTGGTTTTGGCCAGCCAGTTATGTTACTGCCATAAAACTTTTTTAACCAAATGTGCAGGTATTAAATGCACCTTTAGCAGCATTCTCTAAACTAACTCCTGCAAAAAGAATCTAACTGGAGATTTGGGGGAAGGAAACTAACTAACTAAAATTTGCTGCTTTCAAAAGAAAAAAAAAACAGTGCAAAGGAGTGTCTGTCCTTTCCCCTTTTTTTTATAACAGACCTGGCAACTTTTTAGGGGATTTTTTTTTTTTTTTTGCCGTTGGCAGTATCTTAAAAATAAAATGTCTGGACTCCTCTGGCACCGTTGTTGGAACTTGACCATCTCCATAAATTATTGTGGAAATCAGCTTGAGCTGAAATTGGAGAAAGGTGGTTCTTTCTGGATTCATTTTTTTTTTTTAAAGAGCAAACATGAATTATGTGTTGCTACTTGCATCAGGTAGATAGCCACCTTTTTATACCAGGCTTTTGTCTTTCTTAATATAAGATATGGCTGCATCAGCTGATCAGCCAAATCAACACCCCCATGTGCATTTTATAAGCCCTGATGCAAACAGGTTTGGTCTGTACTCTGCCTCGGACAGTGACGTCTGACGTTCTTTCGTCATGGATGGTGGGTAGTATATTAACATCCTTCCTGTCCTTTAACTTTAGCTTTGTGCAGACCTTTACATTCACTTTTTTTTTAATTTGGCCTCTTTAAAAGGTCTGGGGAAATCCTTGGCATTTCTTCTCACAGTGCCACAGGCCAGTATCTAGAAACCCTAAAGAGTTTGAAACAAACAGACAATGCTATAAAAATTGTCCACATAAAAGTGGTAACCTTTATTGAACAAGGGGATCAGTAGGTCCCAAACAAGTTTCCCGCCTGTCCCCAGAGAGTCAGGACAGCCAGGAGGGTCCAGTTGACCATCTTTCCCCTCATATACACGAAAGGCAAATGTATAGCCACTTTCGCTCTTGCACAGTTTGTAGAATTTTACGCCATACCTAAAGCGCTTTGAGGGGATGTATTGTTTGAATCCTAATCTCCCTTTTTATTTCATTAACGATTCATCAATAGATA